CCAACAGCATAATTCAAAAGCCTCAATTCTTCTACGGTCTTCCTTATTCACTGTCCAGCTTTCACATGCATATGAGGTTATTGAAAATACCATGGCCTGGGTCAGGCTCACCTTAGTCCCCAAACTGACATCTTTGTTCTTCAATACTTTAAAGAGGTCTTGTGCTCTCTGAATTGATCCTCCTTCCCAACTTCTCTCTTATTTATTTATTATTTTCTAGGAAAGTTCCAAAACAAATTTTCCCAAGTTTTTCCTCCCAGTTGTCCTAAAGGATTTTTATTCCAGTCTGAATGAATGCACTTTTTATTAACATAACAGCAGCCGGGTAGTGGAGGCACTATCTTCCCAAAGCTTTCTTACCACAGTCATTTTTAAATAAAAAAGATTCTCCTCTGTTCACTTAATATTTCTGTATATTTCAATCTAGGAATTGTCTTATTTCGTTAGCTTGCCTGTCCTCTTTGTTAATGCAATGAGACTTATGCTAACCAGAAATCAATGAGACTGCCTTGTTTTTTCCAGAACTTGAAAGGTTCCTACCTCTGACAGGGTGTAGCCCTACCACTTTCCTATCACTCGTTTTTGTGGGAAATATTTGAGTTTTCCTTCTCTGTAAGTTCTGCCTTTCGCAGGGTTACTATTTTTTCTAAACTTTCTGGTAATTATTAGTGATCTGTTTGCTAATTAAGCTAATTAACAGAGTTGACTGGAATAGGTCCCTCTGCTATTATATAAATCCTAATTTCGATTTTTCTCTACATTTCTTCGATGTGTTTTCTGTTCCAGAATAGAGATTATCTTGATAAATGTTCCACATGAGTTTGAGAAGACTGTGCATTGTACTGTTGGGTGATGTCATCTAGAAACATCAATTAGACACAGTTCATTGATGGTGCTGCTCAGTTCCCCTAGACCCTTACTCAATCTCAGTGGGCTGGACATGTCCATCACTCATAGAGGGTCCTGGAATCTCTAATTATATAGTACTAACTATATAGTGGAGTCCTGGTGTAATTAATGCGGTTAATGCACCAGACTGCAAAGCTGTTTGAACTGCAAGGTCGGTGGTTCAAACTCACCAGCTGTTCCTTGGAAACACTATACAGGGTCGCTATGTGTCAGAACCGACTCAACGGCACTTAAAAACAACAACATATAGTAGTTGGTTGGTTTCTTTCCCCTTGGAGTTCCACCAATTTTTGCATCTCATATTTTGATACCTTATTAGTTATTGATGTAATAACAGGACTCCCACCCTGTTATTGTTGTTGTTGTGAAGTGCCGTCAAGTCGATTCTAACCCATAGACCCTTCTATTAGGCACATACAAATTAAGGATTATAAAACACAGAACAGTTAAAAAAGAATACTGTGTTGTTATAACTTTAAATTACACTATGGAATCCATGGACATCCCACTGACGCCTTGCTATTAATGAGGTTAAGCATCTTTTCATGTGTTTAAGGGTCATGTATGTTCCTTTTTCCTTAAATTATCTCTTTGTATTCTATACTCATTTTTTCTACTGAGTTATTGGTTTCGTGGCTTTTTTTTTAAAAAAAAAATGCTTCTTAGATGGCTCACTCACAGACTTCTGGCAAGAGGCCAAGTGAACCCCTCCATTAGCATTCTTGTGACAGGGCAGCTAGCTTTTGCCCAAGAGTAAGAGTCTCACACTGTCACACCTGTCATAGTCTACTCATTAGGAGTGAGTCACCAAAGTCCAGTCCACACTCAAGGGAGGAGAACTAATGTTTTGAAGGGAGTTTTTAGTGCCATCAAGTCAATTCCAACTCAAAATGACTCTGTATAGGGTTTCTGAGGAGCAGCTGGTGGATTTGAATCTCTGACCTTGTGGTTCACAGTTCAGTGTATCAAAGAATTTGTAAACACATTTTTAAACCTTCACAATCAGCTTTCCTCAAAAACACTTAAAAGGGCATACTTTGAACTTCATTCCATTATTGGATGACCTATATGTACCAAGTCATTCCACAAAATTTTATTGAATATGTTATTTGAATCACTGTTGTCATTTTTATCACCCATGATTAGAAATCATTCTGTTCTAAGACACTGCTAAAAATTTAAATCCTCCTAACTGGTTGTTTTTTTTCTTCTTCTTCTCAGGTGCTTGTTGGATTTCTTCTTATTTTAGCAGCCATAGAGCTGGCCTTTGTACTCATAGAAGATTCTGGACAAGGCACAGTCCCTGCCATTAGATATACCAATCCAAGTCTTTACCTGGGTACATGGGTAAGACCCATAACCACTTTCACCATCTATCTTCTCTCTACCTGCATTCTTTTAGCTAAAATGTACTCTCTGGGGATGAAATTAAGTGAAATTTCATCTAAAGACTTTGAGAAGTAGAAATGACAATCTTCTCACATTGTAAATTAAAAATCTGAAGCAAAGGTTAACTGACTTGCCTAAGGTTTAGAGTTAGCTGGTGAGAGAGATTAAAATAGTTTTCCAATTCTTGACCTATTGTTCATTCTACTATATCTTCATATATCTCACTCTTTCAAGGGCATTATAATGAGGCAACGCTTGGTTATAGTTGGGTGAAACTAAAGACAATAGATTTTAATTTTTCATCTTTTTTTTTGGGAACACCCTATATAGGGACGTTATGAGTTGGAACCGACTTGAAGGCATTTAACAACAACATTTTGGTAGAAACTTCTCTCTAGGATTAAGTATCTGCTCTAAAAGCTAAGATGTATTTCTAATGTCCTTGTATCTTGACATATAAGGATCATGCTGTTGTTGATAAGTGTCATGAAGTCAGTTCTAACTTATGGTGGCTCTATTTAGGGTTTCTGAAGCCGTAAACCTTTACAAGAGCAGAAAGCTTCAGACTTTCTCTCAAGGAGTGACTAGCAGACTCGAACTGCTGATCTTGTGGTTAGCAACCCAATGCATAACCCACTATGCCACCAGAGCTCCACATAAGGATCATAGATGATATATAAATTTTTTTGATGTAAAATAATTTTTGGATACTGTACATATTATTCTTAATTAATGACTCTAATTAGTGGATCCCTGAGTCTTGAATTGTTGTTTTAAACCTGATGTCAGAAACTGCTGTCTCTTCTGTAGGCATGTGTTTTCCAGGAGCCTAAAGAGTATTTAAACAAAAATTGAATTTATTGCTATCATTTTAAAAGAAGAAGATACTACATAAAAATCCGAATTTCCAACCATTCTTGAAAAATCAAAATGTCTGGCAACCATGAGTCTATATTCCCCCAGGTTCATGGTCAGCTGGGGCTGCTTAGTGGCGCCCACCCTGCGCCACTTCGCGGAGTAACGTTACTTCCTTGGCCCCTGTAAGCATTTTTTGCTTACTACCATTGTTATGAGCCCTGGTGTGGCACGGTAGGATAAGCACTGGACTGCTAATGGTAAGATTGGCTGTTCAAACCTACCAGTCACTCCTCAGAAATCCTATACAGTGTTGCTATGAGTCAGAACTGATTTGATGGCACACATTAACAACAACAACTGTTATGAAACAAACAAACAAACAAGAGCTAGGCAATGTGTTCTAGAGTAGAGTTGGCTCATATATCTCTTCCCAACCCAGGCTCCAGTGGCATCACTTGGAGTTTGAAATCTGCTACGGTAGGATTTGCTGCCAGTTAATGCTGTGAACTGCAAAGTCAGTTTGGGCCCTAAAAGCCAGCAGTTCCAACTCACCAGCTGCTCCTCGGAAACCCTGTACAGGGTTGCTATGAGTCAGTATCTCACTTGACAGCAATTAGCAACAAAAGCATGGTAGGATTAGTCACACCAGGCAAATCAGAAGCTGATTTACCAGCATACCACTAAGGCTAGGTAAACAACCAGCATTTAATTAATTGTCTCTAAGAGAGGGGATCCAAATAGAGTTTTAATTTGAATTACCTAGATGATTAGCCAAAAGTTTGGCGGTTTAAGCCCAGATTTGCCTCTGAAGACAAGGCATACAGAGCTGCTTCCAAAGGTCACAACCTTGAAAGCCATTTGAACAGCTCTCCTCTGTACACACGGGGTCACATGAGTCAGACTTGAGTTGATGGTAACTAACAATTAATCTGATATGAAAGAACCAAGGTGCAGAGACCTTGTACCTACCCAAATCTACCTCTCCCGCCTGGCTACTGTAGCGTCTGAAATTCATTCCCTTGGGTCTTGAAAAAGCTTTTCTGGCTCCCAAAGTAACTTCACTAAAATGCAGATCGGGATCATCAGATTTCCTGGATAAGTCCCCACCCAACCCTGTACAGGGTCGCTATGAGTCTGAATCCACTGATGGCACTTAACAACAACAACAAGTGTGATAAATAGAGATGGAGTGAGAAAGACCCCAGAGACAGCATGAAGGCATTGAAAGAGGAAGTTGGATGACAGCAGGGAGGTAACCTACAATTTGGTCAGATTACAAGGGGGCTTCAAAAAGTTTGTGAAAAAAAATCCAATTCTCTTTCAATTCCATGTTTCCATGAATTTTAGAAGCCCCATTGTAATCACAACACTCTCGTCCTTCAGCCCCAACCTCTCTTCCCCACCTGCCTGCCCCCACCCCCCCCCAATTCTCCAACAAACTTCTCAGCTCCTGTACTTGGTTAGTGACAAGAGTCTTCAGAGCTTGATGTGAATTTCTCTCCAGATCCTGGTTTTGCTGATCCAGCACAGCAGACAATGGTGTGTGCAGAAGAGCTCTTGGTTCCTGTCCTTATTCTGGATCCTCTCAATACTCTGTGGCACTTTCCAACTTCAAACTCTCATCCGGGCACTCCTACAGGTTAGGACCAAAGAGAGGATGGCATAAAGGGGGCACTGCTGGGAGACGGCTACACTGGAGAAATGGCATGAAGAAACCTGGGCTTGGATTTCGGGGATTTGGTGATCAGCTTTAATCACAAGTATTTATATATATATGTATATATATATATAGTAATTATTATAAAGGGGGTTTACAAAACTCATGGACGAATTCAAGAATCTTTTTATTCCAATTTTTCAAAAACATTTTGAAGCCTCCTCATAGATAATAGATTTAGATTAAATTTAAATAAAAGCTTCATTTTTTTTCTTTCACAGGACAGCAATTCTAACCTGACCTATTCCTGCCTGTTCTTCATCTCCTATGCATTACAGTTATTGATCCTGATTCTTTCATCATTTTCAGAAAAAAATGCCTCATCAAATGTGAGTCTCTAAATATACTTGCCTACTATATTACTTAAGGAGCTCTGGTAGCGTAGTGGTTACGAATCGGGCTGCTAATCTTACGGTCAGCCATTTGAAACTACCAGCTGTTCCGCAGGAGAAAGATGAGGCTTTCTGCTCCCGTAAAGATTTATGGCCTTGGAAACCCTGTACAGGGTTGCTATGAGTCCGAACGGACTCCACGGCACATAACAACACCAACAACTATATTACTTAAATCAATGACTTCTTGACAAATTCAACTTGGAGATGTCTGGGTCTGTCTCCTGGAGCCTTGAATAAGGAATTACAGATTATTTTATGACATAAGGAAATAGGAGGTGACTAATAATGTGTAGATATGTTGATCTACCAGTCTTTACCACAGGCAATTAATTCATATGTCTCTGCCAGCAAATCTAATGATCTCTCGACTAGCAACTGTGGCTACTAGAGGAAGCACTGGACTGCTAACCACAGGTTGGTGGTTCACACCCACCAGTTGCTCCTCGGAAACCCTATACAGGGTCACACTCAACAAAAGCAGTGACCATAGCAACACATGGGGTCAGCCTGAGTCAGAATTGACTTGACAGCAACTGGTTTGTTGTTGTTGTTTTGTTTAGTGACCGTTTGGCTCCCAAATAAACATGTGTTGACCAATTGGCTTCAACATCATCTCTAGTTTCTACCACATCGTATCTAACAAAATCCATTTCTGATTCTAGAGTCCCATAGCATTTCCATTTCCAATTGATTTACTTTCTAATTTTTTGTGTGTCTTGCAGAATCCATCAACCACGGCTTCATTTCTGAGTAGTATTTCTTTTAGTTGGTATGACAGGTAGGAAATGCCTAGAGTGTGGCTTTACATCTCTCCCCACCTCACTCTTCTGAAAATGATGAAAAGCATGATTTTGTTAATGACTGCTGTGGCCTCTGTTTCTCCTCCATTTAGAATCAGAGAACGTTAGAGCTTACAGGGTAATTTAGTTCAGCCCCTTCATTGGGCAGATGGGAATCTGAAGAGGGGGTGAGGGGTATTTGCCCTTGGGAACCTGGGGTTCCACAGAGAACAAAAAAGAAGGCAGCAGGATGAAAGGAGAAGGCTACAGGCAGGCAGTGTGTTAGCTGCCTACACTCTGATTAGAAAGAAAGACTAAATTTCAGCTAGAAGTCAATGAAAATATGATGTAACTTATGTTTCCAAACCTCAGGTTAAGATCCCTGATCTAGAAAGACACCGTAGAGGCAGCCACGGGGTCTGCTTGGGTTTTTAAGGCATCATGGAGGCTCTTCCAGGAGATGCCAGGATGACAGAGAGGCAGCTAGTGTTTGAGTAGGAATGAGCAGGAGGAGGGGGAGGTGATGGTTTTTGGGCCCTTAATTCAGTGATGCCCCTCCTCTTCCCTTCCTCTTCTGTCTTTTACCACCTCTGCCACCCCTCCTCACCCCCTTGTCTCCTCTCCCCATCCATTTCTCAAGTTTCAAGGGGCAGGAGGTGGGGGCAGTGGAACAAGGGGAAAATCCCATCCATTTGTTCCTCCATCCCAAATCAGGGCCCAGGCAGGTTTGAATCGAGGGGGCAAAGAGACAGCTCTCTCACCCAGTCTGTAGGGTCCCAGCCTGTGGGTCACTCTTGTTCCAGCATTGTTCTGAAAGGCTTCAAGGAACCTCTGACACTTGAAGATATCTGGGACGTTGATGATAGTATTAAAGCCAAGTCCCTAGTCAGCAAGTTTGAAGCGTGCTCAGCAGGAGAGCTGCGGAAGGCCAGGAAGGCACTTGAGCGAAGGAATCAGAAGAACTCCCAGCGGCACTCGGGAGCCAGGCTGCATGACTTGAACAAAAACCAGAGTCAAAGCCAAGATGTCCTTGTCCTGGTAAATGCCCCAAAGTTACTGTGCGGATATGTTTGTATGTCTCAGGATGTCCTTGAATTTTTATAATACTTTATACTTTTCATAGCGTTTTATATCATTAGTATATTTGCAATATTAGTATGACCTCATAGGTACATGAGAGTATATTGTGCTCTTCTTTATCCTCTGGTGTATATTTGAAATTTTCCATAATATATATATTTTTTTCAATGAAAAAGATAAATAATACCTAAGCATTACTAGAATCTGCACCTTGGTTGGAATTAGCATTCACAGCTAATTTATTTAGTCATTCAAAAATATTTATTGAGCACAGTTGTGTGTCAGAGACCATTCTGGGCAGGGGGTATAAGGACCAAGCCTTGAAGAGTCTCCATCTCTAGGGAACTAGAAAAGAAACAAAAAACCAATGCATGCGCTACTCTTGTAACTCAAGTGAATATAACTCTAGTTATAAGTACTATCAAGAAAATAAAGTAGAGGGAGTGAAGCGTCATTCTTGATAGATCATCAGAGAAGACCTCTCAGAGGAGGTGGCATTTCAACAGAGACCCAGATGTGAGAACAGTCCATCTACAGGGAAATCAGAAGGAGCAGGAGGGCTAGGTGGAGAAGGGAACAAGTTTGACTCATTCAGGAAACTGGAAGGAGACACAGGGGCATCTTGAGGAAGCTGAGCAGGGCATGAGATGAGTGTAGGGAGGTAGTCAAGGGTGAGACTGTGTAGGCCTTTGTGGGCCATGGTAAGGAGTCTGGATTTTAAGTTTGATGTAAAGCTAGTGAAAGATTTTGGGCAGAGGCGTAGGGTGGTCTGATTTATGTTTTGAAAAGTCTCTTGGGTGGAAAAAAGAAAAGACAGACATAGATAAGTGACGTATATCCGAACCCTAGGAGCATTGCTGTAATGTGGCACTGTAGGATAAGCACTGGACTGCTAACCACAAGGTTGGCTGCTTAAAACCACCAGCCATTCCTGGGAAACCCTATATAGGGTCGTGATGAGTTGGAACTGACTTGACTTAATGACAACAACAACAGGGTACTGATAATGATCAATAAAATAGTTCATTCAGTGAAGAAAGAAAACTTTCTCAGGATGCTGCCTAGAGAATAGATCATTGAAGGTGCAGTGAAAGCTGGGAGTCAGTCATCCTGGCGGGAGAGACAGAGGAAAGGAACCTCAGTAAGAGAAATTACCAAGAGGAGTTGAAGGTTGAAAAACTTGAGAAGCTAGAATATGGTGGACATGATGGGACTCTGGAGAATGTAATGCAGAGGCCAAAACGTAGGAAAAGAACAGTAACAAAAAGGCTTCTAAACATACAAGCCCTGGTGGCACAATGCTTAAGCATTCGGTTGCTAATCAAAAGGTTGGTGATTCAAACCCAGCAGCTGTTCCATGAGAGAAAGACTCTGCCGTCTACTTACATAAAGATTACAGTCTTGGGAACCCTGTGAAGCAGTTCTGCTCTGTCCTATAGAGTCACTATGAGTCAGAATCAATTTGACAGCACTGGATTTCCAATGGGTAAGCATCTGAAATATACATTAACATGACTATGGCCTTCACTCTCAAGACAGCCCCTTAATCCCTGACTCCGATTCTGTTCTTTGCATTTATGTGATAATCTCACCAGGTTAGTTGCCTGTTTTTCTAATCCAAAGTAGATGACAAGGATCAGTTAGGAAAGAGAGGACAGCAATGGTGCCTAGAAATGTGGATTGGCAACCACGCAGTGAAGAGGAGACCAAAAGCTGTCCAAAGATGGCGCCAGGGCTGAGACTCAACACTCTAGAGCTGTTTAGTGAAGGAGTCGAACACTACTAACTCTGTGTACATTATTGTTTGTTTTTTTGTATCCAGGAAGAAACTAAAAGGAAAAAAGAGGAGTCTGGGATCACAAAAGACTATCCGAAGTCCTGGTTAATCAAGAGCCTCTTTAAAACTTTCTACATGGAACTCCTAAAAGCATTCCTATTGAAGCTAGTGCACGACAGCTTCATATTTCTGAATCCTCAGTTGCTGAAGTGAGTCCTCAGGTTATCCTGCCAGGGTTCCCTCTGCCACCTTCCTTTTTTAACCCTTGTGTATACAGGCAGGAGTGTATTATTAACTTTCCATTTGAAAACCCTCATTATTTTCCTCCACTTTGTAATGTGTTTGTGCAAGGCAGTTTTTAAAATTTAAGATGATGTACACTCTAACCGTCCTCATTTCCTCCCCTCATAGAGACTCAGATATTTGTTGGGAGCTCTTTACTGTGACATGGCACTGCTATGGGATCATGTCCAAGAGGTGGACACCACACCCCAGGAACGCTTTTTATCGAGTGTCTAGAACCTCATTTTCCCACAGGTTCAGGCTAATCCTGACAAGACTTTGCAACTCCCTGGGGTGTATGGAATGAACCACCCTCCAGGAGGAAGCCCTTCAAACTCATGATGGATGTTGTTGTTGTAATTAAGTGCTGTGGAGTCGGTTCTGACTCATAGGAACACTGTATAGGGTTTCCCAGGAGTAACTGGTGGATTGAAACTGCCAGCCTTTTGGTTAGCAGTCCTGTGCTTATCCTACAGTGTCACACCAGGACCTCCATACTGGATAGACATCCTAATTCCTTCTTGGGTTTTTGTTGTCCGGGAACCAACCAACTTGTCCCATATATCCACATCGTCTCTTATACTGGTGGGGGGGTGGCGGGCAGAGAGCAGGTGACAGGGAGGGGGTAGTGGCAAATGGCAAAGCATTGTAGCAGCAGTTATGTGGAACATTTCCTTCACTACCCATTCTCAGTCAGGGAGGCAAGATTATGGAGCTTAGGTTTTTCAAAGGTGTTTGGTCATTCTGATTATTTTTATTACCTATAGGGTAAAGGATGGGTAAGGTAGGTCCCCACTAGGAAGATAAAGAGCCCTTGGAGGCCTGATGGGCAACATTTACTTGATTTTGTTCCGGCAGATTTCTCATCGCCTTTGCAAATAATAATAATGCATATGTATGGACTGGCTATATCTATTCAATCCTCTTCTTCATTGTGGCTCTCCTCCAGTCTATTTGCCTTCAGTGGTATTTTCAGTTCTGCTTTATGTTGGGTATGACTGTACGGACGACCATCATGGCTTCTGTATATAAGAAGGTAAGTAAAATGCATTAGGTATTGCCAAAGAAAATCTCCTTATTAAGTATGAGGAAACTATTACAGGATTGAAGGAAGAAACAAGGTAATGATAACTGACAATATTGTTTGATTTTGATTAGTTTTGATTTTAGATGTTTTCCATTATCTTTTTTCTTTTACTTTTTATTGTGAATTGCATAAAGGTTTACAGAGCAGATCATCAGTTTTACAGTCAACAAATCATACACTTCATTTCGTCTCAGTGACAGCAATCCCCTCCATGTAATATTAGGCCATTTCCTTCCTGTTTCTTGTGTGCATTCCTCCTTCCTTCCTAACCCTTCTGAATTTTGTCCTTGGGTAAGTGCTACCCTTTTGATCTTTAATAGTTGGTCTCTTTATGTTGTATATACCTCACTAGTGTTGTGATACCTCCCACCCTACATACCTACCTAGTGTTTAGCTGAAAACTGAGCCATGAGGTGAGTTCAGTTTCAGACTTCAAAGATGACTAAGGATCATAGTCTATGGTTCCACCTGTCTCTATCTGACTAGTGAGCCTGGTCTTTTTTGTGATTTTGAGTTTTGTTCCACATTTTTCCCACTCTTCCAGGACCCTCTAATGTGCTCCCCTTCGGAGCAGTCGGTAGTGGAAGTCAGGCACCATCTAGTTTCAGTTGTGGAGACGTGATCCATTCATCCACTGGACTATTTGCAAACCCTTTCAGTTTTCATCATTTTTTTTTTCTTTCGAACAAGAAAAAACCAATATTTGCACCTAAGATTCCAGTCACTACACCCTAAAATGACTCATTCTAAGAAGTTTTCATAACTTTGTCCACTGGATGCTCCACCACATTCATAAATATGTTTGCAACAAAGGTAAAAATGTATTCTGTCAAAACTTTACATTTGTGGGTCTACTCCAACTCTCCCTCCCACACACATCCAGTCTGTGTATCTATCCATTTATCTCCATATACATAGATCACTGCTATTGCAGGGCTGTGTATGTAACAGTACTTTGCTCTGTTCCCTTTAACTCTTGCACTCTTTCCTGACTCTTCCCCTGCCTTCATCTCTCTTATACCAGCCTCCTACTTGTATATTACCTTCCCCATTACCCAAGTTAACACACGTCTACCCTCTATCCCAGTAAGCACTGGACTGCAAACCACAACATTGGCAATTTGAGTCCACCAGCCTCTCTAAGGGAGACGGATGAGACTTTCTGCTCCTGCAAAGATTTAAAGCCTTCTGAAACCCTAAACAAGGACTCTCTGAGTGGAAACTGACTCTGTGGCACTTAACCACCCATCACCACGTTCTAACAAGTGAATTACTCCCCCTTGCCTGGTAACCATCAGTGAATGTTATTTTAATGTGAAAACCTTTTCTTGAGTTTTCACAATGGTGGTCTCATACAATATTTATTCTTTCGTATGAGACTAGGAAGAAGGAGAGTCAGACTATTTCTGAAAATTTAGTCACTGAGAACTATAAGAATAGCAGTGGAACACTGTCAGCATCAGAATATTGAATATTGAAACATGATGAAGAGCACCAGAATATTGTCAGATATAGTGCTGGAAGATGAGCCTCTCAGGATGGAAGGCACTCAAAATACGACTAGGGAAGAGCTGCCTCCTCAAAGTAGAGTTGACTGTGAAGATGTGAATGGAGTCAAGCCTTCAGGACATTCATTTGCTGATAGTGCACAAATCAAAATGGAGAGAAAACAGCTGTAAATATCCACTAATAATCAGAATATGGAATGTACAAAGTATGCATCTCAGAAAATTGGAAATTGTCAAAAATTAAATGGAACTCATAAACATTAATATCCTAGACAACAGTGAGCTGACATGGACAGGTATTTGCCATTTTGAATCTGACAATCACATTGTTTACTATCAAGGAAATGATAAATTGAGCAGACAGCTCTTCCCTAGTCATATTTTAAGTGCCTTCCAACCTGAGGGGCTCATCTTCCGGAAATATATCTGACAGTATTCTGGTGCTTGTCATCGTGTCTCAGTATTCAATAATTTGGTGCTGACTGTGTTCCACTGCTGTTCATAAAATTTTTACTAAATATTCAGAAGTAGTCTGTCTCTCTTTCTTCCTAGTCTATCTTCGTATGGAAGCTCATCTGAAACCTGTTCACTGTGAGTGACCTTTCTGGCACTCAAAATACCCGTGGCATAGCTTCCAGAATTACAGTAACATTCAAGCCACCATAGTACAGCAAACTGACCGATGAGTGGTGATTCAATTTTGTAGGTTTGTTTTATTTTGGCTATCACTGTGTTGTTGTTGTTGTTGTTAAGTGCTGTTGAGTTGGTTCCAACCCATAGCAACCCTGTATAGGGTTTCCAAGGAATGGCTAGGAGCTGTAACTGCCAACTTTGCAATTCAAACCAACTTTGCAGTCCAGCGCATTAACCCACAGCACCACCCCAGGACTCTGGGATATTACTATATCTGGATGAATTCTGGGTGGTTTTGTCATATATGTTAATCTCAGGTTGTTGTCCGCTGTTGTCGGTTCTCAGTCCAAAGAACTCCCTTTAGTATTTTTTGTAAAGTTGGTCTGATTGTTACAAATTCCTTTAATTTCTGTTTATCTGGGAATGTCCTAATTTTGCCATTGTATTTGAGGGAAAATTTTGCCGGGTATATGATTCTTGGATGGCATTTTTTTTCTCCTTCCAGTTTTAGATGTATCATTCCATTGCCTTCTTGTCTACATGGTTTCTATTGAGAAATCAAATCTTAGCCTTATTATTTCTCCTTTTTAGGTAGCTTTTTGTTTTTCCTGAGCTGCTCTCAGGATTCTTACCTTGTCTTTGGCTTTGCAAAGTTTGATTATAATATGCATTGGCAATTTTCTTTTGGCGTCTATACTGTTTGGCATTTGTTCAGCATCTCAAATGCTTATCTTCTTGTCTTTCTTAATATTAAGGATGCTTTCTTCCAAAATTTGTCTCTGACAATTTTCTCTGTGAGTTTTTCTATTTAGTTTTCCATCTCTTCCTGTTCTAGAATTCCAAACATATAATCATAAATTATTCAACTTGATGGTGTTTCACATAAATCTTAGGCTTTCTTTGTACTTTTTCCTGATTGTTGTTCTAACAGAGTAGTATTAAGAGATTGTTACAAGCTCACTAATTCAACCTTTCATTGATTCAAATCTTTGCCCTTTCAATGCATTATCCATTTCTGAACTCTTAGTATTAATCTCTTGGTTTTCTATTTGCATTATTTTTATTGTTTCTAATTTTTCATTTTTTTTTTTTCCCATTGGCTCTTGTGGTATTTTCCTGAATTTCTCTTAAGTTGTTTCTGTGTGCTCCTTGCTTTCATCTGCAGCTTTCTCAACCTTTTCACAACCCATTGACAGTACCTAAATATTATCTTTTGAATTATTTGTCAGGTAGATCCAATACCTTTTTTTCCTCAGAAATGTTTTCTGGCTCTACATCTTGGTCACTTGTTTGAGCCACTCTGTCTTGTTTTCTCATGTGAACTGAAATTGCCAGTTGTCTCTAAGACATTGTGATGTCATTGACTTTGTGTTTAATTGTTGATTGTATGATGGTGTGTTCTTAGGCACTCGTAATCTGTCTTCTGGTGGATGTAACTAGAGAATGGAAGTGTGTGAATAGTTCTTCATTCGCTGTGCTGTACAGCTCAGGGTAGGTTTATATGGTGTTAGTTGCTTTCTATCATGGATCAGATGATACAGGAGCTCATAGTGGATCTTGTCCAGTGTGTGGGACTGCAGGAGATATGGTTGTGACTGGGTTGTACAGGTATAGTTGTTGTTTCCTGTAAGAGGGGGGACAAAAAAAAGGAAAAAGAAAGAAAGAAACAAAAAACAGTAAAAAGAGAAAATAATAAAAGAAAAAAAAAAAAACACACCAGACAGTAGCAAGAAAAAAGACTATAATAACTTAAAAAAAGGGGGGAAAGGAAAGGAATATAAAGCAGAGGAAGAGAAAATAAAAATTCAAAACTACAATGAATAAATTATAGAGTGGGAAGAAAAAAAAAAAGCAAAGTAAAAAAAAAAATCAAAAGGAAACAAGAAGGAGAGCGTTAAAAAGAGAAACAGAAGAAAAAAGTGGAGAAAGAAAGGATGAAAAAATAAGTGAAGGGAGAGAAGAGAAGAAGAAAAACAACAACAAAAGGAAAAAACTAGGGTAGGACCTGACCCACAGAGGAGAAAATGGTGGCAGGTCCCTGCCAGCCAAGGCGCTCACAAGGTGGGAGAGGGAGGGATGAGAGGGTGGCACGCCTGGCCCTCTATGGAGTTCCTGTAGGCCTAGGTGTTGCCTATGGTCAGGGCACCTAGTCCAGAAGTAGTTCTTGCAGGTCCTAATGGTGTCTGAGGTCAGCATCTTTGTTTCCAAAAGGAAATCTTTCAGGTCCTGAGAGCCGCAGGGGACAGGGTGACTGGTTATGAGAGCCCATGCCGGGCCTTGCTGTGGTCTACAACTCTGTAGAAACAATGTTCATGCACCTCCCAGCTGCAGGGGTGGTGTACCCTGTGTTCAACTCACAATGGCATGCCTTCAACCTTTGGCAGAGCAGGGGATTTGCAGGGGGTGGGTGAGTGTGGGAGCTGGCCACACCTCTGGTCACCATAGAGAATAGCATCCATCTTGTTATCAGCCACTGGTGAGGGTCCATGCTGTCAGCCTGACATCTGAATTGAATGCTGCTTACAAAAGTTCAAGACAGTCATGTCAAGTCAGGCCAGCAAACAGTCCACCAGTCTGCCTCCTTTTTTACCGCTCTTGATCAGCTTCTTCTCCCAGTCAGCTTTCAATCCACTTCTCTATCTTTTCCTCTGAAGCCCACCCCTGTCCATCTTGAGTGTCCATATATTCACTTATTGTTGTTGTTATTAAGTGCTGTCAAATTGATTCCAACTCATAGTAACCCTGTATAGGGTTTCTAAGGCTTTAAATCTTCATGGGAGCAGAAAGCCTCATCTTTCTCCCAAGGAATTGCTTGTGGGCTCCAAACACATACCTTGTGGATTGTAGTCCACTGCTTATTATATGGAGCCATAGATTTGTATTATTACTGTTATTGCAGTGTTGTATATGTAATAATATTTACCTTCATTGCTTTTAGCTCTTGTTTTCCTCCCACTAACTCTGGTAGCATAGTGGTTATGAATCAGGTTGTGAAGCGCAAGGTCAGCTGTTCCACTGGAGAAAGATGAGGCTTTCTGCTCCTGTAAAGATTTACAGCCTCAGAAACCCTGTACAGGGTCGCTATGAGTCGGAACCTACTCCACGGCACATAACCACCACCACCGTATTTCTTTGCTTTGGTCCTTTTATGCTGACTTCCCCCTATTGTGTGTTGTTATTGTCATTCCCTTGTCCTAAGTCAATATGTATCTACTCTCTTCTCTTCCTACCCCTGGTAATCCTCAAGGAATCATTCTGTGCATAAAACTTTTATTGACTTTTTATAGTAGTGATCTCATACATTTGTCTGTTTGTGATTAACTTATGTCACTTAACATAATGACCTCTAGGTTCCTCATGTTGTGAGGTGTTTTGCAGATTCATCAGTATTCTTTACATTTTCATGTGTCTTTGATTTTCCTTACTCTTCTTTGCTCCTTATATCTTCACTATTTGGTTATTGATGTATTTCAGAGTTTGCAGCTATTATAATCAATAAAGAGATTTATAAAATAGAACTCTTAATGAGATTTCATTCAAATAAATCTTGATATTTAATTAGAATGAAGGAAAATGACTAATTTCATTTGCTTAGGTAATCCTTTACTGTTTATGAATCCTCTCATAGCCTCATCCATCCATAACCTTGTGAAGTAAGTGCATTACCCCAATTATACAGAGAATGTGTGTAATCACATAACCAAGACTTGCCTCTAGACCAGAGTTACTTAGGACTAAGTCAATGGTCTATTTACTTTATTGAGATTTATTAACAAAAGAAAAGCATAATGATTACCCTGAAAGGTAATTGCATAATTTTTGTATACTGGAACAGTATTTAATGTTGTATACTGTTTGGCTTTTCCATATAGAGTAGTGGATGTATACCAGAACAGTATGTAATGTTGTATACTGTTTGACTTTTCCATATAGAGCAGTGGATGTATATCAGAACAGTATATAATATTGTATACTGTTTGGCTTTTCTATATAGAGTAGTGGATGTATACCAGAACAGTATATAATGTTGTATACTGTTTGGCTTTTCCATATAGAGTAGTGGATATACAGTGGATGTATATCAGAACAGTATATAATGTACACTGTTTTGCTTTTCTATATAGAGTAGTGGATATAGAGTGGATGTATATCAGAACAGTATATAATGTTGTATACTGTTTTGCTTTTCTATATAGAGTAGTGGATGTATATCAGAACAGTATATAATGTTGTATACTGTTTGGCTTTTCCATATAGAGTAGTGGGTTGATTCTTTTAGATCATTGGTGACTTAATGTTTTAGGAAAATTTCTTTTTACTATGTACCCAAGAATCCTGGTATGTTCCCAAAATGCATTACAAAAATGTAGGGTAAGATGATAGCAGAACTTCTAAGAAAGGAAAGGTGATAGGGTTGAGGATCAAGTACCACTCCTAGTGTGAATTAGAAGAAGGCATCCCTTCCTATGCTCACCAAATCACCCACAACAGTGATGATTTGGTGAGCATAGTTACAGGGCTTCCCAACCCCCTTGGCTGAGTGCAGGCTTGTTTTGTAAGTGATAGGTCTGTGGGCATGAGCCTCTGATCTCCTTATATAAAAACAGGAGATCTGTACCACAAGATTCAGGCATCTAGATAGAAGTTGTCTGTTAAGTGCCCTCAAGCTGGTTCCTACTTACAGCGACTCTGCGTAGGGTTTCTGAGAAGTGGGTGATGGGCTTAAACCATTGACTTGTGGTTAGTAATCCAGTGCTTATCCTATAGCACCACACCAGGGATCCTCTAGATAACGATTACACTGAAATTATTAATAACAGATGAGTTAAATGGGTGATCCCTGCAGTTTTTCTCTCCATTTCAAGATGTCTGTCCTTGTTGGGAAGGGTTGCAATACTGTGACATCAGAAGACTTTAAGACTAGGATCAAAGCATGCTAGTTTCCTTCCTTCCTCCCTTCCCCATCCTATCTTCTTTCCACCTTACTCCTGCTCCTTTCTTACTACTTTCTTCCCATGAATATTTGATTCCCTCCTGTATGTTACATGCTACAATGATAAAATGTACAGGCCTTGTCCTGACTGAGTTTGCATCTGATAGAGAAATAGAAAAGCAAATAATTAAATTCAATGTGATAAGTGTAACAACAGAGGTAGGCACAGGATGTTATCGATGTTTAAACACAAATATTTGAGTTGGAGAAGGCTTCACAGAAGTGCTATCTAAACTGACAGCTTTATTTTGAAGGATAAATAGAATTTGTATAAGAGATTAAGGGAAGGCGGAAATAACAAGACAAAGTGGTCAAGAATGATAGAACGCTGTGAAAGATTTGGAACAAGAAGGAAGGCACTGTCCCATGAAAAAGTGATGTCCATCAAGACCACATCCTTCCATTATGTTTTCACTTTCGGAGACTCCCTCACCTCATAATTTCCTTGGCCTTATAGATGGGACCAATCCCAATCTTTGTCTTTAGGCACTGACCTTATCCAACTCGGCCAGGAGGCAATACACTGTAGGAGAAACAGTAAACCTGATGTCTGTGGATGCCCAGAAGCTCATGGACGTCACCAGCTACGTCCACTTGCTGTGGTCTTGTGCTCTACAGATTGTCTTATCGATCTACTTCCTATGGGAAGAGTTGGGACCTTCAGTCTTTGCAGGTGTTGGAGTAATGGTGCTCCTAATCCCAATTAATGGGATACTGGCCACCAAGAACAGGACTATTCAGGTAAGAAAACAAAGTCATTCTGGGATACACACCTTGTCCAAAGTCTAAATGCTTTTATTTACTCTGTTCGAACTCTTATTGGGAGTTTGGGCAAGGCAAAGTGACTATATTTTTCCCTTCTCTTTTCATTTTCCAAACTCTTAGGGTTTATAGATTCTTTCCTTATTCATATTAGAAGGAATAACCCAATTGGAAAGGGAAGGGAAGGACTGTCCCAGAAATCTTTCAAATAACTCTTCCATCCTGCTCCACTGGGTTGTATCAAACCTGATTTGAGTCCAGCCTGCCCATCATTACAATACAAATCAACCACACAGAGTAGTCACATGAGTGATCCAAACTGTAAGCTAAGTCCTGGCAAGCACTCCTGTTCCCTTCAGCTAGGAGGGCTCCATGCAAACAGTCCTTAACTGGGCTAGAAATCAGAGCCTGGGTGGGTGGACCTGTTGGTAGGAGTTGGTATGCAATGACTTATGTATTCATTCATTTTGCATTCATTTAATTGCAAATATATTTTTTTGGAAAAATATTTAGTGCGCATCTTACTATTCTGAGGTTACAGCAGCAAATTAGATAGGTGTTTTTTCTACTTTTGTGGAGCTTACATTTTACTTGGTGGGTGGAGAGACAGACAATAAACACAGATCATTAAATAAGAAAAAATCGGAACATGGTAAGTACTATGCAGAGAATTAAAGGGCTGGTGTGATAGTGAGTGAATAAGTAGTTATATTAGATGGGAGGGTCTGAGAGGGCCTCACTGAAGAGTAAACATTTAAGTGGAGAACTCAATGTGAAGAAACACAATTTAGGAAGGGCTGGGGAAGAACAGATCGGGTAGAGGGGACAGTCAGGCAAAGACTGCCAGGCAGAGACGAGCTTGATATGGTCAAGGATTAGAAAGAAGACCAGGGTAGTAGGAGTGGAGTGGGCAAAGAGAAACATAGGTAAGGATGGTTATCCCATCCTGGCAACCTCAAGTACTTACACAACCACTCTCTGAGACCTGGCATCTGTCGCAAACCTGGACGCTGTTCATGAAAGTATGCTGTGTTTTTAGTCTGCATTTTTCCTGGCAGGTAAAAAATATGGAGAATAAAGACAAGCGTTTAAAGATTATGAATGAGATTCTCAGTGGGATCAAGGTAAGAAGCTGAGAGCATAGCCTGCTGTCTGTGTGCAATGGCAGAAGCACTGCATTGCGGGGCCTTGACTCTCCCTTGGGTGGGGTGGTACCTCTGGCTTGTGTGGAGTATCAGAGGACTCCAAATTCCTCCACCCATCTGTCTCCTGTTACATATTCTACTCCTTCTCTCACACTCTTATTTTAAACCTTAATTTGTATTTATTCATCCTGAAGCCTTCTTGTTTTGTTTATACATTTTCGTGTTGAAGTTTTCCAACACATACAAGTAGAGAGAATGATACCATGAACTCCCATAGACTTCTCACCTTGTCCCCACTGCCCCCCTCACAACCTGCTAGATTATTTTAAAGCAAATCTCAAATACGCCATCATTTCATTTGTCCATATGTTGTCTTTGCTTCTCTAAAAGGAGGATTTTTTCTTTAAAAACATACCCATGATATTAGCATCACACTAAAAAAATTAACTGTCATACTTCCACCATCAAATCTCCCCAATTATCTCATAATTTTTTAACTGTTAGCTTGCTTGAATAAGGATCCAACAAATATCCACACATGGCCTTCAGCTGACAATGCCTTTAAGTTACAAAAATCTTTCCCTCCTTTGCTCCCCTCCATCATAATTGGCCAATCTAGGTTGTCTTGTTTTCTGTATTGTCTGTAAATTGATAGTCAGATTTAAAAGCTTGATTAGCTTTGGGTAACTTAGGTTTAATTGGGGATGGGGCACGGATACTTTCAGGCGGTGCTGTGTGTACTTCCTATTGTCAGCGATGATGACTTCTCAATGGGTCCAGGCAGTATCAGCCTGATTCATCCATCACACTAGAGTCACCTGGGAAGCTTGGACCCTATTTCAAACCAATTAAATTACACTTTAAGGGAAGTAGGCCCTGATAGCTGTACTTTTAAGAACTCTGGTAGCGTAGTGGTTATGAATCAGGCTGCGAACCACAAGGTCAGCAGTTTGAAACTACCAGCCACTCCGCGGGAGAAAGATGAGGCTTTCTGCTCCCGTAAAGATTTACAGCCTTGGAAACCCTGTACAGGGTCGCTATGGGTCGGAACCGACTAGATGGCACTTAACAACTTAACAACAATATAATTCTAATAAGCAAATGTGCTTAAAAAAAAAAAAAAAGCAAAAACACTGTTGTAAAAGTCTTTGCAGTCACTGATGACCAACTTACTATTTCATCAAGGTTGCAAAATAGTGATATTCTAATTCTATTTTTTCTTTGACCTTTGTTAGTTGGAATTTTATTTTTAAAAAACACCAAAAAACTACGGAATAGGCAGAATAGATGTTTCCTTTTTTTCCTTGACTTAACAACTTTCAAAGTAGTGTATTTTATCCTGCTAAGATGACCTATACATTCTATTTTTGTTAAAAAATGAGTTTTGTTAAAAACTCATGGATTTTTTTAAACATTACCATATACTTCTTGAAAATAAAACAGAGGTGTACCTTTAGCTGCCTGAACATCCCCACAAAGAGTTCTGATAAGACTCTGCTGATACGCAAAATTCAAAGACAGTCTCGGTTTTGAGCCTCAGTTTTACCACTTGGTAGCTCAATGACCTTGGGCAAGTTACTTCCTCCCTCAGCCAGTTTCTTTACTAGGAAAAAGGAGACAATAATTCTACATGTATAGGGTGACCATCTTGTCCTGGTTTACCCAGAACTCTCCAGATTTTAGCATCCAGGGACCCCTTTCATCTGAACCAAACCAAACTCACTGCCATAGTCTATTCGGAATCCTACTGACCCTCTAAGATAGAGTAGGACTGCCCCTTAGGACTTTCAAGACTGTAAATCTTTTCAGAAGCAGACAGCCTCATTTTTTTCCTGTGGGTTTGAATGACCAACCTTGCAATGAGCAGCTCAATGCTTAACCCACTGTGCTCAGTCTGGGGCAAACTGGTAAACTTTTTGCCCAGTTTAGTGTTCATACTAAAGTTGTCAAAAGGATTAAGTGAGATAATGTAATAAAAGGCTTGGTAAATAGTAGTCTATCAACAAATATAAGCTACCTTTGTATAATCATATTTTCATAATCTGAATTTACACCTACCCAAATCTGGGGGACTCCTGGTGTGGTGCTGTGGGTTAATGCACTGGACTGCAAAGTTGGTTTGAACTGCAAGGTCAGTGGTTCAAGCTCACCAGTCACTCCTTGGAAACCCTATGCAGGGCCGCTATGGTTTGGAAACCAACTCGACGGCACTTCACAACAACAACAACAATATTCTAAAACATAGATGGGTGAGATATACCTGGTGACCTTTCGGGACAACCATGTGAGCAGTGCTATTTTCTAACCTCTTAGATCCTAAAGTATTTTGCCTGGGAGCCTTCATTCAAAAGCCAAGTCCACAACCTTCGGAAGAAAGAGCTCAAGAACCTGCTGACCTTTGCTAAACTGCAGTCTGTGATCATGTTCCTCTTATACTTGACCCCAGTCCTGGTAAGTGGAAGGGAAGTCAGTGGGTTGTATAGTTAGTGGGACCTGGATCAGCTTTCTGGACCTCTAGGCTTGTCCCCAAGGCCCAAGGAACTCAGCCTCTGTCCTCAGCTGCCCATGTTGCTATTCCTACCTTGTGACCCACCCACTCCCTGAATTTAGTTTCACCATTATGTTTTGTTTGGACATCTGAATACCCAGAGCAAGTTTTCAGAATGTTCAGCTTCTCACCTTCCTGGGGCAACAGTGTGAGTCTATAGGGAAAGGACATTGATCTGGCAACCAAGAGACCCAAATTCTGGTCCCAATGCCTTTAACTGACTTTGTGACCTTAGGTAAGATATTTCTCTTCTCCTGGGCTTAGTTTTCTGTAACAGGAAGTGGTTGGAATAATCCATAAGGCCCTTACAATTCTGATCTACAAGTCATTTCTGACTTACAACACATTCCAATGACAACGAACTACAATTACAACCATCATTTGTTTTGGGGTTGTTGGGTTTTGTTGTTGTTGTTGTTTTTTACATCTTTTTGTTAGTAATATGTACTACATATGTTGTTGCAGCACATAATTTGCTGTGTTATCATTATCTATAGTTTATATGTAATGTTTTCAACTCACCAAAGACAAATAAAGGTCAAGTTTATAAGCACACAAATATTAATGGAAGAATGTAGAAGATAAAAATGAGGTATTTGATTTACGTTAGACTGACTTGCAACTGAGCCATTGGAATGGAACCCCATCATTAAGTTGGGGTGCCTGTACAAGTTTGACCCCTTTTAGGAATGAATTCCTCCTGACCTTGCTCTTTCCAGGTGTCTGTGATCACATTTTCAGTGTATGTCTTGGTGGATAGCAACAATATTCTGGATGCACAAAAGGCCTTCACTTCCATTACACTCTTCAATATCCTGCGCTTTCCCCTGGGCATGCTTCCCATGGTCATCTCCTCCATTCTCCAGGTAGGTAGGACGCGCACTGCTCTATGCTTGTCTCTGGTTAAAAGCCTTCAAGTTAAGAATGACTGACATATCCCATTTACTGCAGAACCACATATTGTACCCCACTTCTAGGTTCTGCTAGACACCTTTCAATTAGAGAGAGCTGTTTGGTTTCTGGAGAGCAATGGTTTTATTTTAGTAAGATCACAAGCTCCCAGAGCTCACACAGGTGAGGAGTGCTGGTGTGGCCCTGTGTGCTAATGCGCTGGACTGTAAGTCAGTTTGAACCACAAACTCACCAGCTGCTCCTTGGAAACCCTACACAGGGTCGCTGCAGGTCAGAACTTACAGCAACAAGATGAGGATAATCATCCTAGTTCATCTACTTCACAAGGAGATTATGCTTATGAAGCATTTCGTGACATTATTATGATTCACCCACGTGTCTGGAACATTTCTAAGTCCTTTTCCCAGCCAGATTTGCCAAGATTTTCCCAGTGTTCTTTCAGTGTTTCTAGGCAAATATGGTACACAGTGAGAGAAAAGGCATGCAATTGAATCTCAAGCTTCAGACAAAGAAACTGGAGTTCTGGAGTCCATGGGTGGGCCAGGGTGTCAGAGTCCTGAATCGTAAGATGGAATAAGTATAAGATGTCATAGGCTGTGAGACAGCCTGGGTGGCAGGGTGACAGGGAAGTAGAGTGTGGTGGCTACAAAGCTGAGAGCAGCTGATTTGCATGGATCCCAGAGGTGACTGACTTCAGACAGTGAGGACTGGGTTTAGGAGAAGGTCTTCCTGTCCTGGAGAGTGTTAAGTAATTCTGACAGATTTGGTCAGTAAAGAAGTAATATGCTAATTCTGCCAGCGCTTGTGGGAAATGAACTTTCCACCCTAGAGCCATGGCCCGGTTTAACCTTAACCTGGTGGAGAAGGCTCCGCGATGGTAAACACTGCTGTTACTTACTTGAAGCCTCAATTGGCCACATTTTGGCACTATGCCAAGATGGAGCTGGTTCCTCCAACCCCTGCTGAGATCCCTACAGCTATTCAAAGCCTGAAAAAAATAGTCATTAGTGCTAAAACTGGTCACTTCAAACAGCTCACAGTGAAGGAAGCTCTGCTAAATGGTTTGGTGGCCACTGAGGTGTGGATGTGGTTTTATATCGGCGAGATCATAGGCAAGCGTGGCATCATTGGCTATGATATTTGAAGACCAATCTTCACACTCTGATTATATTTGGTTTACTATTTATTCTTGGACCATATATGATCAGACTGCTATCTGAATAAAATAGATAATTATGAAATTTTAAAAAAGGGAGGAAGAAGTAATATGCTTCTTTTTACACTCTGGTAGTTTATTACTTATATAGACATCAAAAGAAAGGTTAGCAAAGATATCAGATCCCTGAGTTCTTTGTCCTATAAAATGACACTGAAACCAAAGGGACCAGATCGCAATGTAACATGCAGAACTGATTTCATGTGGCTGTTATGCAGTTTTATAGGCTGCAGTTGTACCCTCAGGAGGAGGACTGAAAGCCCTCCATTAGAAGCTAGAAGGCAGTGAGCAGCTGTCTCCGGGCATCCTACATGGAAGGGAGGGAGGGAGGTGAGAAACATCCTGTAGAAGCTCCTTGAAGTCCTTCCTAAATGTCAGCAGCTTTGGCAATGTGACCTATGTGGAGATGTGCAAAGTCACCATGGTGCCATGACAGAGCCAGCCACCCTGCACAGGGTTCCAGTAGTGGATCAATTAGGATACAAGATGGGTCATCAAGGCACAGATTCAGTTAAAGGATCCTAAGCCAGGGACCTACTTACCAGAACCAGACAGAAGTTGGACATTTGTCTGAGGAGGCAGGAGATGGTTCTGGAACTGGGGCCAAAGATCAAAGTGTAACAGCAGTAAAGTTGAATCTACTGAGGGGCTGAGATAGAACATCTTAATTTCTCTTGGTCCAGGGTAGGGTAGCTCCCAGATCTAAGTAGGACTGAGTCTGCAGTGGTAGTCAAGAGGTTCCAGCAATGGCAAGTGACAAATTCATGGGCAAGAAGCCTGGCAGATTAACTATCTGCTAATATAGACGCTGTGGGTTAATAAGTCAGACTGCAAAGCCATTTGAACTGCAAGGTTGGCAGTTCAAGCTCACCAGCTGCTCTTCTGAAACCCTATACAGGGTCGCTATGGGTCAAAAATGACTTGCCAGCACTTAACAACAACAATACCCCCAAGACTAATGACTCAAAGCCAGAAAACCTCTCCCTGCTTGTGCTTGCTATTGGAGTTTTAAATGTTTGAGGTCCTTTGGGTTTCTTTGTAGGCCAGTGTTTCCAAAGACCGGCTGGAGAAGTACTTGGGAGGGGAAGACTTGGACACATCGGCCATTCGACATGACGCCAATTCCGGTAAATGAATTTGAAAATTGCTCCCCCAATTTTTATATGCAAAGGCTGAGCAGCAGTAAAACGGATTAGAAAGGAATGCTAGGGAACTTATCCTGAACCTATGTTTGCCTAATAGGTAATAAAAACAGCATGCTGTTTGTATTTAGATTATGTTTTTATTTCAAGTAGATAACTTAGCAAGATTGCTAAGCAAAACTGAGCCAGTGGTTCTGAGGAGAAACAGGGAATCCTGCAAAGGGTTTCTAAACAGTAGTCGGGATGGAGCTGAGCCTGTAGAATTGGGAAGGTAACCTTGAGTAGAAGAGCACACGAGTGCTGAAGGTTTAAGAATTAGGGCATACAAAGCCACAGCAAGCAGTGGACTGGAATCCATAATGGGCAGTATGAAGAGATGGGCTTCATCCAAAGAGACTAGGCAGCAAAGGGGTTAGAAATGTGCTCAGAGTATATGGAGGACAGGAATGTGGGCTACTAACAGGCTTGGGGCTCCTGAATTAAAAAGGGCTTCATATGCAGACCTCTTTTGGTCTCATCTCAGGAGCTTTATTTGCCTCCTTGTGAAAGCGGCAGCCATCAGATGACAGAGGCGATCTCAGGTCTGCTGGACATCTGAAGGCTGAAAAGGGGCAGACTGACATGTGAGGGCTGAAAGAGGGGGCCTTTTTCTCAACAGAAAAAGCTGTGCAGTTTTCTGAGGCCTCTTTTACCTGGGACCAGGACTTGGAAACCACAATCCGAGAGTGAGTTGCCCTTCATTCCATCCAGCTATTTTTTTCAGGATTCTCCTTGCCAGGACTGCTCTTGGAAAATTCCATGTTACAGAACAGATGGCAAGAGTGATGTACATGTGTTCCGTTAGGTAATAGTACAGGCTGAACCTATAGGGGACTCTGCGCATCAGACAAGGATCCACGAAGACACAGTTGTTCTCTAGATTCTAGAGGAAGGTACCACAGTGTTGACAGGCAGTCTAGATCTCTTGGTATGGTGGAGAATACTCACAAGGATCTGAACGACATTTAAATTCAATTACTCTTAACAGTAGTAACCAGTAACACTGAAATCTGGCTTCTTTCTCCAGTGGGACAGTAGGAAGTGTTTTTATAAGATTCAATATCAGATCTGGAGTTTTACTTTTTTCTGTGTGTTTTTTTTTAAAGTTTTTATTGTGAGTTGAGCAACGGTTTACAGAGCAGACCATCAGTTTTATATTCAACAAATTAAAATAGTTTGTTTCATTATAATGATTCAGTCCCTTCCATATACCATCAGTTAACAGTGTTTACTGCTGGTATAACTGATGGTATAACTTAACTCATGCATTCCTCCCTGGGGCTCTTGCTACCTTCATCTTTCCTCTGCCAACCTCCCTCTTGTTGTATATTGCCTGCCCTATCACCCATATTAACATGTGTCTCCCCTCTAGCCTGTGAATAATTTTCCCTCCCCCTGCCTAGAGTGTTTCTTTTATCAAGATAATGTTTTCATAACTTTTTATAACAGTGGTCTCATACAATAGTTGTCCTTTTGTGATTGATTAATTTTACTCAGCATAATGTCTTCCAAGTTCATTCATGTTGTGAGGTGTTTTGCAAATTCATAGTTAGTTTTCAACATTGCATAGTATTCGATTATGTGTATTTATCAAAGTTTAACTATTTTTCTGTTGACACGCATTTAGGCTGTCTCCATTATTATTTATTTATTTTTTTGCTATTGTGAATAGTGCACAACAAACATGGGTGTGCATATGTCTTTTTATGCTAAGATGTGTCTCTTGTACACAGCATCTTAAAGGATTCTATTTTCTTTTCTATTCTGTTACTCTCTTTCTCTTGACAGGCTCATTTAAATCATTTACATTCAGTGTAGATATCAGTATTGTATAATTGATGGCTGTCATTTTGATGTGTATGTTTTGTGATGCTGCTGGTTTCTTTGTTCCACATAATTTCTTGCATTGAGTTCATTTTGTTTGTGGGTTTTCTTTTCCTTTTCATTTCTGCTGTGTTCATGTTTATTAATTTTTTCTGATTTTCCTCTTTTTTTATTGTGATGTGAAAGTATATTAATTTTCTTTGAGATTATCCTATAATTTATTAATTTTTCCCCTTTTTAAAGCAGTCTGTTTTATCTTGAAATCTACAAGACTTCCTTGACATTTGGAAGCATCTACATTATTACCTCTTTTTGTTTTGTAGTTGATTGTGTTATAAATTGATATCTCCAGTTTTCTACTTTCAAGTTTGTTTTACTTTAAATACTTCTGTATCTGGATTGAGTTCTGGGAGCTGTTGTCATGTATATTAATCTCAGGTTGTTGTCTGTTGTTGTTGGTTCTGAGTCTAAAGAACACCCTTTAGTATTTTTTGTAAAGTTGGTCTGGTTATTGCAAATTCCTTTAAGTTCTGTTTATCTGGAAAAGTCTGAATTTCATCATCATATTTGATGGATGGCTTTGCTGGATCTATGATTCTTGGCAAGCAATATTTTTTCTTTCAGAGTTTTGTATATGTCATCCCATTGTCTCCTTGCCTGTATAATTTCTGCTGAGAAATCAGAGCTTAGTGGTTTTGGTTCTCCTCTGTAGGTAACGTTGATATTTTTTCTGAACTGCTCTCAGGATTCTTTCCTTGTCTTTGATTTTGGAAAGTTTGATTATAATATGTCTTGGTGATTTTCTTTTGAGATCTATCGTGTTTGGGATTCATTCAGCTTCTTTTATGCTTATCTTCTCATCTTTTATGATTTTAAGGAAGTTTTCTTCCAAAACTCTTAGACAATTTTCTCTGTGCTTTTAAATGTTCTCTTCCTGTTCTGGCATTCTGATCATCTATAAGTTATTCCCTTTTCATGATGTCCCATGTATATATTAGGCTTTGTTTGTATTCTTTCCTTCTTTTTTTCTGACTATTCTACTAGACTAGGATACAGAGATTTATCTTCAGGCTCACTAATTTGGACTTTCATTGCTTCAAATCTACTCCTTTGTCCTTTCAATGCATTATCCATTTCTGAAATCTAAGTATTAATCTTCTGGATTTCTTTTGCAGGATTTGCATTGTTCCAAAATTTGCATTTACTTTATCTATTTGTTTTTGTAGTGTTTTCCTGAATTATTCTAAAGTTTTTTTCTGTGTTCTCCTTGCTTTCCTGGATCTTTCTATGAATCCTCTAAAGGAATCTAAATATAATTATTTTGAATTCTTTTCCAGTTAGTTCCATTACCTTTTCTTCCTCAGAAGTGTTTTCTGGATCTGCATCTTGGTCATTTGTTTGGGCCATTTTCTCTTGTTTCTTCTTGTGAGTTAAAATTGTCTGTTGCCTCCAGGACATTGTGATGTTGTTGTACTTACATTTAATTGATGATTGTATGTTGATGTATTCTTAGACTGTCACCAACTGTCTCCTGTGTAGTTAGAGAATAGAATTATTTGCACTGCCCATTTGCCATTTGTACACCTCAGTTTAAGATGGGTTTGGCTGTTGTCTGCTGCCTATCATTGATCAGGTGGTATAGAAGCTGATATTGGCTTTTCCCCAGTAGGTGGAGTTGCAGAGGATATGCTTGTGACTGAGCTGTATGGGCAGAGTTGCTGTCTCCTGTTAGGTGGGAAAGAGGAGACCCCCACCACACACACACACACACACACATACCAGAAAGTAAAAGAGAATAAAGAAACAAGCAACAAACAATCAAAAGAAAAAATAAAGGAGGGAGAAAAAACAGACAACAGACAGAAAAAAGAATATGATAACTAAAAGAGGAACAAGAAAATGTAGCTATAGAGAGAAAAATAAGGGAGAAAATAAAAGGAAGAAATTTTTTAAAACCTTAGATAATCCAGGGAGAAGAAGATGAAAATAGAAAGAGAGTTGTTGTTGTTACGTGCCGTCGAGTCGGTTCCAACCCATAGCGACCCTGTACAGGGTTTCCGAGGGTGTAAATCTTTACGGGAGTAGAAAGCCTCATCTTTCTCCTGTGGAGCAGCTGGTAGTTTCGAACCGCTGACCTTAAGGTTCGCAGTAGAGAACAATTAAAAGACAAAAAGAATGAGAAGAGGGAGAAATGAGAAACAGAAGAAAAGAAGGAAAAACAAAGTCAAGGATTTTTGTAGGATAAAATTCATGGGAATGGAAAGAGAAGAAGGAGAAGAAAGAATAAATGAATATAAACAACAAAACAATGAAAGGAAAAAGCCAAACCCAAAGCCAAAAACTTCAGCGTAGCTGTTGGAGCTAGAGAGGATAACACCACTCTGGAGGTCTCATCCAGTCAAGGAGCTAATGAGGTGCGTGCAGGGGTGAGGGGAGGGGATGTGGCAGCAGAGTTCCTGGTCCTAGATGGAGTTCCTATAGGCTTAGATGTTATCTGTGTTCAGGGCACTCAATCCAAGAGTAGTTAGTTAGTAGGAGCCTTTCAGTGTCTGGTAGGACCACAGAGAAGCTAGGGGCAAGGTGACTGGTTATAAGGGTTTCTGCTAGACTATAGTCCTGGTGGGTGCCATGGGTTAATGTGCTGGACTTCAAGGTCAGGGGTTCAAGCCCAAAACCGCTCCTCAGAAACCGCATACAGGATTGCTGTGAGTCAGAACCAACTCGACGGCACTTAACAACAACAACAACAATACTGATCTGGTGGCTCTATGGGTTCTGTAGGTCTGGAGTCCAGTTCACCTGAATCTAGGCACCAAAGCAGCATAGCCACCCCCTTCTCTCCACCCTCTTATCTTGCCCCCCCATACACACACACTCCCATGGCTCACAATCACACCGCTCCGAACTCCCTGAGAGCAGATTTCTGAGGGAGAGGGAAAGGGGAGCTAGCCACCCCTCTAGTCACCAGGGGGAGCTTGGAGGAAAAGAAAGAACACATCTTTCCCATGACCTGTGTGAATCTAGTCTTCCAGACCACCTTCTGTTGTCAAAACTGCTCACAAAAGTTCAAGATGGTCACACCATGTCTGACCATGTGTTCACCAGTCAGTCCCCCTCTCTCCCCATCCCTGCTCAGCATCTCCTCTCATCAGTCAGCTTCTCTAATCTTTCCTCTGAAGTTCAGGGCTCCAGGATTTTTGTCTGTGTCTGTTCATTTGGTCTCTTGTAGCTTTGTTGTAGAGGGTCCATGGAGTATATCTGCCTAGCCCGCCATCTTTCTGAAAGTCCGGAGTTATACATCTTAATAACCCACCCACATACACCACCCTGTAGATTACCTCGTCTACCAGCAGATGTTGTTTACCCTCTGTTGTCTGTAGCACATCTCTTAAACCCTACACATAACAGCTCATCCACTGAACTCAGCACCCACAGAGCCTGAAAAGGCCTGTGTCTTTCTTTTCTCACAACCAAGTATATCTTGTCATCTTCCTGCTACACCCAGGATTTCCACCCTTCACCCTATTCCTACAATCTTTCAAATGGACTCTGGAATTAGGCCCTGATGAATTGTGGCAGGATCCCTGCACTTAATCCTCCTAATCAGAAGGCCTCCCTTTACATAGAAGAAATTTGATAAAGTTTCTTCTTAACTGGTTCATATATGGAAGAAGTTCAACTTTGTGAGCAGGTTCAGAAAGAGTATGAACAAACTCCTGATGTTCCTAATAAATGTTTAGGGGATCAAATAATAGGGCTGGTATCCAGAGATCTCCGGAGTCTAGCTGGACCCTTCCCCAGCCAGGCTCAACCTCTAAGGCAGGGGCCAGGGAATCTGAGCTTTATGCAAGTGTTGCAGGTGTCTCATTGAATAACCAAGTTTTGGAAACATGGATCTAGTCCTGCCCTTTTAGTTTAGAAATATGGATCCTTAATCAAGATCACAAAGCTCAGCAAGGACTAAGTTGGGACGTGGACAAGATGTCTGGCTCTCCGTCGAGTACTTGTTCAATGGTACACTGTTCTAAGGGGACAAAAAAGACTCCATTTTCACATATATAAATACAGACTTTTCGTTAAGTCTCAAACAGGATTTAAAAACAAGACAAAACAAACAGATCATTCAAGTGAAGGAATTTATCGATATGATGCCATGATAAATGTCCATAGTCCTACCTCCATAAACACTGGACTGCTAACCGAAAGATTGGCAGTTCAAACCCTATACAGGGTGGTTATGAGTAGGAACCATGACTTAACAACAATCCCTCCATGGTATTTTATAAAGCACAGAGAACAAATTACAATTGACAGCAGCAATGCATCGCATAAGCATGTGGGGCCTACCAGAAGAAGGGAGGGGACTATTGCAGACAGGAAAGCTTTATCTACTATCCCTGGAGCTTGAAGGTGTGACAGCACCACAGCCACTTAAGGGCTATGCTCAGGGAAACAGTGTGGAATTTCTGTTCTTGCTATGCTGGCTCGGGGGAAGTGACCCCAAACCCACTTTCAAATACACTTCGTGCCTGACTCTAGCAGTTCAGCCATCAGAGGTGCATGGAGTACACAAAAAAAATGACATCTGAACACTTAAACCTAGCCATAAAATGGAATTAGCTCTGGCTAGAGTCATTCAAGAAGAATAGCCTTCAGATTTAATGCTCTAAAGCAGCACATTGCTGGTTCTAGGAGAAGCTTTTCACTTGAAACCCAGACAACTGATAGATGAGTTAGTTTGATAAGTTAGGTTCATTTTCTAGATTCTTAGAGCTAAAAATTCATCAAGCAAGCACTTTAAAGCCTTGTATCTCCAAGGCAAATTTTCCAATCATGAAGGGAACTCTGCTTGCACCACCAAATTTCCATGGGAGAATCTAAAAAGTGACTTGATTTGCTCTTGAATGACTCTCCAACTCCCTCAAAGACCTTTCTTTCTTTCAGTGTCACCCTGGACATTATGCCAGGTCACTTGGTGGCTGTGGTGGGCACTGTGGGCTCTGGAAAATCCTCCTTGATGTCAGCCATCCTGGGAGAAATGGAAAATGTCCGTGGACACATCACCATCAAGGTGAGAAGAAATACAAATAGAGAAGAGGTTCTGACACTTCAGTGTGGGCCCCAGTGAATGCTGCCTTCACATTTGGGAGGAGATGCTAAGGATAGCCTTTGCTTGGGTTTCTTTAGGTGAGGTCTTAGAGAAATCCAGTTGGCATGTCCATTGTAGATTCCCTGCCCCATCTCCAGTTTATATAATCAGGACTCTGGGAGTAGGGCCTGAGAAACTGCACTTTAAGGGATCCCCAAATAATTCTTACATGCATACTATGTTTGAAAACGTAACTAGAGGAATTTCCCTTCAAAATACTCATATCACCATCTCTGCTGTAACTATATAGGTGTTTCTGAAAACCTCAAGTATTACAAAATTATGCAATAAAAATGATAATTTTATTCCTAAGGGAAAGGAAATGGATCCCTGGTGTGTCTCTGTAGGATCAGCACTGGACTGTACACCATAAGACTGGTGGTTCAAGCCCACCAGCTGCTCCTCAGAAACCCTATACAGAATCTCTATAAGTTGGAACCAACTTGATAGCACTTAATAACAACAAAAGAAAGGAAAGGAGCTCGGGTGGCATATTGGTTTATGCATTGGACTGCACACTACGCGTTCAGCAGTTCTAATCCACCAGCTGCTCTATGGGACAAAGATGAGGCATTCTGCTCCTGTAAAGATTTATAGCCTGAGAAATCCTGAGTCAGAACCAACCATCACCTCCAAAGGAAAGGAATTGAAACACATCACTGAAAACCTGTGTTATTTTGCAGCCAGATTATCAAAAATAGTAAAAAAATGCAATAGCAATAAAAATAATGGTTGTTGCTAAGTGGTGTTGAGGTAGCTCCACTCACGATTCTTGTGTTTGGTAGTCCATTGCTTATCCTCTGGAGCCACTGTACTCCATACAAACAGTTGTTGTCGTTGTTGAGTGCTGTAAAATCTCCATGAGTATCACAGCCCCACTCTTCCTTTGAATGACAGGTCTCTGGAGGCATTTACTTCCAGCAAAAAATAAATAAATAAATTTAGACTTTTCCATCAATTATTATCCTTATTTTTTAACACAGAGGAGTTGCTTCCACGTCATCTTTACCAGCATGCCTGGCTTTACTGAGAGTTTGTTGATGTTATTAAATGCTGTCGAATTGGTTCTGACTCATAGCACCCTGCTAGTGGTTACAAATCAGGCTGCAAACCACAAGGCCAACACTTCAAAACTACCAGCTGTTCCGCGGGAGAAAGATGAAGCTTTCTGCTCCCGTAAAGATTTACAGCCTCGGAAACCCTAGGCAGTATTGCTAAGAGTTGGAACTGACTCCACGCACATAACAACAACAGCATAGTGTTTCCAAAGAGTGACTGGTGGATTTAACTCAGCTTGCTTTTTAAGGTCTTGCTACAAAAGCTAAGGCTTTCTTTTGTAATCATGAGAAAGCATGTACTGATTGCTTTAAAACATCCGCATGTTTGAGAAAAAAATGAAGACCCAACAGTTCTGTCACATGATACTGACATCATTCCCTTATTTATTGATTACCAATGAGCCTATTTGCCTTAAATAAACATGCTCTATAGGAGTCCTGGTATAGCACTGTGGGTTAATGCACTGGACTGTAAAGTCGGTTTGAAACACAAGGTTGGTGGTTCAAGCTCACCTGTTGCTTCTCAGAAATCCTATACAGGGTCACTATGAGTTGGAACTGATTCGACGGCACATAACAACATAGGAGTCCTGGTGTGGTACTGTAGGATAAGCAGTGAACTACTAACTACAAGGTCAGTGGTTCAAACCCACCAGCTGCTTCTCAGAAACCTCATACAGACAGTGTCTGCTGTGAGTCGGAACCTACTGGACACACTTAACAACAACATAACAGAGCAGACCCAGAGCTGTGTCTCTGAACTCCTGTCAGAGGCTTTTTCTCACTAACCCATAACTGAGTTCTTCCTCAAACAGGGTCCCTCTCTGCACATGACCTGCTTGTCCCTGTTCTGGTGTCCTAATGCCAACCTCTCAGTACTTGTTTCCTATGATGACTTCCATCCTCTTCCCCCTGCCAGCGTTCATGCTACGTTGATCAAACTCATTGAGGTTTAACTAAAACCCAGGTCTAGACACAGCTCTTACATTCATCCTCTGATCTTCAGGATTGAGGCTAGAATGTGATAGTCCAATAAATGGTGGATGGTAGTGGTTGTGGGGTGCCATCAGCTGGTTCTGACTCATACTGACCCTTGTATTAGCAATGAGCCTTGTCCAGGAGTTCTGAGGCTGTGAATCTTTACGGGAGCAGAAGGCCTCATCTTTCTCCTGCAGAGCCGCTGGTAGATTTGAACTGCTGACCTTTCGGTTGGCAGTCCAACACGTAACCGCTATGCTACCAGGGATTCTTAAATGGTGACAAATGTTTTCTCTCTGGTCAGAGAAAATTACACTTTATAAAAATCAGCTGGTCAGCCAGCAGGACACACATTTCTTCAAATTGAAGTTCCATTCGTTCCTCCGGCTTCCTGCCACCCATTCTTCAACCTATCACATGATCTAATCCTTTTCCTTCTAGGGCACTATCGCCTATGTCCCACAGCAGGCCTGGATACAGAACGGTACTATAAAGGACAACATCCTTTTTGGATCAGAATTGGATGAAAACAAATACCAGCAAGTTCTGGAGGCCTGTGCACTCCTCCCAGACTTGGAAATACTACCTGGAGGTGATCTGGCTGAGATTGGAGAGAAGGTATTTGGGGACCAAGGGACCTTGAAGGGGTAACAAAATACTGAAGAAAAAATTGGGATGGTGATGAAGCACATGGGAGTCAAATTGGTTGACCAATATTAACAGTCAGAGTCCTGGCGTGGTGCTGTGGGTTAATGCACCAGACTGCAAAGTCGGCAGTTCAAGCTCACCAGCTGCTCCTTGGAATCCCTATACAGGGTTGCTATGGGTCCGAATCGACTTGATGGCACCTAACAACAACAACAAATATTAGTAGTCATGCTTGAAACATGTCTCAGTTCTCTAGTGCTGCTTTAGCAGAAATACCACAAGTGTGTGGCTTGAACAAATTGATTTTCTCACGGTTTAGGAGGCAAGAAGCCCAATCAGGGTGCTGGCTCTAGGGAAAGGCAATCTCTGTCTTCAGCCTCTGCTTCCTGGTTCCTTGGAAATCTCCATGTGCCTCGGAATCCGCCTTACCCCATCTCTCCTCTGCTCAATTGTTTAATCTGTTTTATATCTCAAGACACCCCTCATTAACATAACAAAGACCACCATTCCTAAATGGTTTTATAACCACAGGCATAGAGGTGAGGATTTACAACACATAATGTTGTAATTGAACATGGTTCAATCCATAATAGAACAGATACCAGAAAAACGTGTGTTTGCCCTAACTGGCCACAATGTTTGTATTGCAAATCACTCAGAATTGTAACATTTGTTCCTGGAAGTAAGCACAGAAATAATGTATTCTAAATTAAAGGTGATGAGACTAAGAACCAGAGACATTGAATTTTCTGCTATTGACCCAAGGTTGACCTCGCAGGTGAAGGGCAAAAGACGATATCAGAGCTTAGGTGTACTGACTCTATTTCTGTGCATCAGTGAGAATCAGAGGTTGTTTTTGGTAAGTACCGTGGAGTCAGTTCCGACTCAGTGACCCTGCACAGGGTTTCTGAGGCTGTAAATCTTTACGGGAGCAGAAAGCCTCATCTTTCTCCCATGGAACTGCGGGTAGTTTCAAACTGCTGACCTTGAGGTTGGCAGCCCAACTCGTAATCACTATACTACCAGAGCTCCTTCAGAGGAGGGTTCTAGTAATCGACTTCAATCTCTTAGGGATTTATTGAGAATTATTTTCTCAGGTTATTAAATGCTTTTCTTTAAAACAGATTTTCACTGGCTATATTATATTCCATTATCTCAGTATAAAAGAATTTATTTAGAAATTCCTGATTGCTACGTATTAGGACATTTTCATCCTCCCATTCCATTACTAAAAATGAATACAGCGATCTTTTGGAGATAAGGATCTAGAGATGGTAGAAGACTAATGAAGACATAGCTCTCGCGTAATTTTGTTCATTGCCTCAGCACACATTTGTTGAACACCTCCTATGTACTAGACACGATTTTAAGTGCTGGAGATACATCCTTGGCTGAAAGAGTGAAAATCTCTGCTCTGATACAACTCTACATTCTCATGAAGCTGAAGGAGGGAGCTACAAGCATAATATATAAGTAAATATCTTGTAGAAAATAACAAATTGAACAGCTTTTAATTATTTGGTATAAAGTTATTGATTTGTATAAAAGAATACATTTTTAAAACCCTTGGTACCTAATTGAGGTGAATCTCTTCCTTACCCTTATTTTACTGGCATCTGAAAGTGGGACCAAGGAGTAGTGCTTTATGAAATTATTTTCTTCTTCAGGGTATAAATCTCAGTGGGGGTCAGAAGCAGAGGATCAGCTTGGCCAGAGCTACCTACCAAGACTCAGACATCTACATTCTGGATGACCCATTGTCAGCCGTGGATACTCATGTAGGAAAACATATTTTCAACAAGGTCCTGGGCCCCAAAGGCATATTGAAAGATAAGGTGAGAAGTCATTTAAAGTAAAGACAACATGGAGAAGGGGGCCTCATCTCCCAGGTCAGCTGTTGTCCTGGGCAAATTCTCCCAGGAGAGACAATGTCCATGAAGACGCCCATCTTTAGGCCAAAATAATCAAAGGCTTATTCTGTGGCTCCGACATTAAGCAGCTTTGGATGATAGATTATGATTAAAACTACTTTGGGCCCAACAACCCATCTTGCCAGTGTGGTTGTTGGGCCCAAAGTAGTACCCATACTGCAGGAGGTCTAAGAGGGTACTTTCCCTGAAACCCTCCAAATCAGGGCTGTGGAACGTCCTGCCTGCAGGCCATATGAGGCCCTCAAAATCATTTGGTCTGGCCCTGCCAAGGCAACTGCAATTCCAGCCATCACATTAGGGGTGAGTTCATTAAATGTCTGAGCAAATATAACAAGATAATTTTTAAGTTGATAGTTTTGTACAGCCCACGAATGATGTTATAAATTTTGGCAGGAAAAAGTTCCCACCCCTATTCAAAAGACATACAAACACAGCAGCTTGAAAGAGCGACTCAACCTGAACATTAAAATAATACCTAACTGATATTGGGTGTTCAGTGTGTCCCGGACACTTTCTATGCATTGTTTCATTTGATTCCATAATGACCCTGTAAGAGAGTACAGGCAAAGAGAGACCAACAAGTCACTAGAACTGGTCACAGGCAAGTTAATGTGTTTGCCCTGACGCTGTAGGTTGAATTGGAGGCGTGACTGAGAATAGGGGCTGTTGATGACATGCATCTCCTTTGACACTGAGCAGTGACATTCTTAGTGCATTTGGCCTGTTGCCCTCAAGATATCTTGAATGATACCAGGCAGAGGTTTCAAGGCTGACAAGACCTGGGCTGCTGTTACACAAAACTCTTTTGTCTTTCTCCTAGATCACTGAGCCAACAAGAACTCACTATTCCCCATATTTCTGGGTCCTGTTTTCTCTCCTTAAAGCCTTCTTGGTTTCATTCACTCATCAACTGAATACCCACCCTGTGCCATGTTTATTGTAAAATCTGGACATGCATACATGAAAATGCCTGGTCCCGTCTCTTTAAGTAATTTATAGTCTAATGGGAAGGCATGTAGAAAAGCAAATAATGATATTATCAATTAAGAATCATCTTATTGGAAGTGTATACAAAGTACTGTGGAAATACTGGAGGAATACCCAATGCCAGGAGTCAGAAAAGGTTTTAGAAGAGTTGGTTTTGATCTGAGATTTGAAGGATGAGTATCTTTGGAGTATTCCAGATCAGAGGAACGTAGTCTCTGTGGATAAGCACTGGACTACTAGCCACAAGATAAGTGGTTCAAACCCATTAGCCACTCCTCAGAAATCCTTTAATGGGGTTGCTATGATTCCAACACTCATTTGTCAGTTTGTCGTACCGTGGTGGCTTGTGAGTTGCTGTGATTCTGAAAGCTATGCCACTGGTATTTTAAATACCAGCAGGGTCACTCATGGTGGACAGGTTTCAGATGAAGACAGACTAGGAAGAAAGAGTGACGAACTACTTCCGAATATTTAGTCACTGAAAACCTTATGAGTAGCAGAGAAACACTGTCAGATATAGTGCCGGAAAATGAGCCCCTCATGTTGGAAGGCACTCAAAATGCGACTTGGGAAGAGCTGCCTCCTCAAAGTGGAGTTGACCGTGATGATGTGAATGGAGTAAAGCCCATGGGAGAAAAGTCAACGGGACCTTCATTTGTTGATGGGGCACAACTCAAAATGAAGAGAAACAGCTGTAAACATCCATTGAAAATTGGAACATGGAATGTACAAAGCATGAATCTGGAAAATTGGAAGTTATCAAAAATGAAATGGAACGCATAAACATCAATATCTTAGGCATTAGTGAGCTGAAATGGACTGGTATTGGCCATTTTGAATCTGACAACCACATGGTTTACTATGCTGGGAATGA